GCTTTGCCGCGAAGATAGCTAGCGTTGATCCTACTCCCTTGATCCTACTCCTCGTTTCTTATCGCATCCTTATCGCTACTAACAAAACAGCTTGATCCTACTAGGATCAAGGACATCCTCTAGGGTAAGGTTGATTATACTTCTAACACATATATCATACAGATACCCTAGCGGCCTCAATGTTAGCCGAAAGATAGACCCGCTAGTCAATTCTATTATAGAAGGAGTTATGCTGCCTTCTCCTTTATAGGTGGAACATATAGCGAGTGATATAGAAGATTACAGACAGGAGGACGAAAGAGCTCTTGTAGAGATAGAAGGCGATTAGCAGCTATTAGCACAGCTAAGATATTATAGTCAGTAAGCGCGGGCGGACAAGACCCTCTTCCTAAGGTTGCAGAAGGATACTTCTAGAACTATTATAGCACTTACTATTCCTGTAATAACTAGCTAAACTATTTAGTGCTTCGTAAGGGGTTACTAAAAGATACTTCGTTAACTGTTAATATTAATGCTTTTAGAAACGCTCTGCCCCTAAAAGCGCTCTGCTGTTAAGAACAAAGCATTTTTAGGAGTAGATTGTTAGAGTATTTTTAGGAGCAGATCGTTCCTAGCAACAGATAGTCTTTAGGAGCAGGCTTTTTGCAGAAACAGTAGGTTTTCTAGAACAGTGTGATTTTAGAAAAGTTTGTTTTTAGGAGCAGAGAATTCCTCTAAACCTGCCTTTCCTCAAATAACACTGCTGCTCAAAACCTACTGTTTCTGTAAATACCTCGCTCCTGTAAACGTTGCGTTCCTACAAGGAATCTATTGCTAGGAATTCTTTGCTGCCAGAAATGCTCTGCTGTTAGAAACGCTCTGTTGTTAGAAGCGCTTTGCTGTTAGAAACTCCCCGCTCCTTCAAATCTACTGCTCATAAAAGCAATCTGCGTCTGCAAACGTTCGGCTTCTGCAAACAGCTGTTCTAAGGAACGCTCCAAACTAGAGATTTTAGATGTTTTCGGTACTTTGAAACCCGTAGGTGCCAAATTTATGAGATAATCGCTTCTAGAGTGCACACATAATGGGAATAGCGTCAGAAGATCGAAGTCAAGATAGTTCAAGAAGTATCCTCCTGCAAACCCCTGCATGACTAGAAGATTAGCTCGGATGCTGCTACACAAAAACGACACCAAGAAAACTTGCTGGCCGATTTACCGATCTCCAAGCACTTTTGAGCTCGGTTGTGGGTTTTCCGTGTTCTTGATTACTGATGATACAAAAGGGTTTTCGCCGTTCTTGAGTCAAGAGGCTCACGAAAGGATGGACGCCGATGTGGAAGAAAGCCTTGGACATCTCGGTGCAGTGAAGGGACATCTTCTAGCGTAGATTTGAACGCTGAATCGCTTGTGGTTCCGGCACATGGGAATGCGGTATATTCGAAGAAGAGACGTGGACGATTTTTGCGTCAGGTATTGGGTTGCACGTTTCATCCTATCGTGCCAGCCAGGTGTCTTTCCATCTACATAAGACGTTTCACTGAACTCGGCATCGACAGCATCACGAATGCTCGTACCAGGCGCTCTGACAACTGAGAGAGGCGGTTTGGGGGCTCAAAGAGAGAAGTTGGTGCTTTGTGGATCGGATGTAGACAATTCGATAGCTGCCTGGAGGTCCGCACAGTAAAGAGTATCCGAACGCCAATGTATGAGGGGACAAATTTCCTTGGATAAAGGTAAGACTATCATCCTCCATAGTTGCAAGGAAGGACAGGAAGGATTTTCCTACGCAAAGCAACCGACCAGTGTCAGTTTAGCCAGGTTCGTCTCGACCGTTCCAACATACCTCTTCTTCCACTTCTTGTATCCTGGTCCATGCATAGTCCAATAGAGCGTTTTCATCAACAGTACTCTAACCAACTTTACAAACAGTCATTTGGAAGGTTTCCTGTGTACACATGCCAGGAGTAGGGAACGCATAATATATGTGAAGATGAGGATTGATGCGGCGCGCGTTTCAGTAAGGATATCGTAGCGCTATAAACATTATATAGGTGCAAAGAAAAGCAGGGGGTTGCTGAAAAAGGATCTCGAACACGCAGAGTCGATTCTTCGCTATGAGATATCCTTGTGCCTGATTGCATGGCTTATGGAGCTATCTGAAACGTATAGCATACCGTAGAGAGTGTGTATGGTACTTTATATTGCAGACCAATGCAGATATGGTCAGATCGCTGCGAACAGGCAAAAGGCAAATGTTACGACTAGCATTCTTGCTGCTCTTCATACCGGGAGCGGCAACGAAATTCGGATTGCGGTTAGTCAGAAACACCACACAACAAGCTAGCCCGTACATAGCCTTCGTGATAAGTAGCTCAGGATAGCCCCAGCAACGCATCCAAACATATTTGTGAACAGTTTTCGCTCACGTAATTATCATTCGTCCAGCATGCCAGTAAACTGGAGACCGGAGAAGCGGTTCCAAACGTTCATCAAAGAAAATGGTTATGTACGCCAAATGGAGCGGAAACGCTGCTATCAAGGCAGAATCTTCAACGACAAAGGCTGGCTTACGGAGCAGATCAACAAAGATGATCCGCGCGAATTACACGATGTCGAAGGAACTTTGGAAGTCCAAAGGCAGCTCTTGTCTAAGCTAGCAGTGCACGAGAATCAGGCGATAGCAGAGCCTGGAAGCGACATGTACCACAGACGTCTTGAGGCCTTGAAGGCAGACACAGTCCAAGCAGTGCAAAAGACGTGGAACCAGAGTAGCAAATCTACCACGTACCAACGGTCGATCTATATTTAGCATTAAAACGAGTATCATTAGATCATACGTTCGCCGTCTAACGTACATCTACGCGCAGCGGAACAAACCACAGGTACTTTGTCTCCAATGCACTAATGACAAGGCTTGCGCGCGTCTTGTTTCTAGCGACGTTTCTCTCAAGTGCTATGCTGAGGCTGTTTCCAAGCTTCTGAGACCCTAGCCATACAGTAATCACGCTCGTGTAGAGGCCTTCCCGCATGATGCGCGAAGAGTCTGTACTGATGGCGAAAATGTGCCTTGCTTACGACAGGGATGCCCTAAAATCTATACTAACGTCGCGACTCACACGACGACTTCGTCGAAGCCTACAGTAGAAATTCAGTGTCATCATCAAAGATCTCTACATGTAGTTTGTTGCAAGACTGCGGGTAGCACTCTAATCATGCAGAGTCGTTATCTGGTTGGTACCCCTAGCTGGGGGTGGGAACCGGACTGAGCATAGCGTATTTTCGATAAACAATGACATAGCACGCTTGATCAGATGCCGAGGTCTACGGCGACCCCCCTCTCCCAATCGGAGTCACACCCTGACTCTTCATCACAAGTACTGTATGTGTGCAGTAGGTGTCACCTATCAGAAAACACCCGTTCTATGGAATGCTGGCTAGCAAGTTGCTAAAACTTTTACTCCATCGCGCAGACTTTCCATCTGCTTATGGAGTTCCCTGCGCCGCTTAATAGAGGTACCGTCCTCCCCCGCAATTGCTTCAAGCTGATCAGATGTCAAATTACCAACAAAAGTAGGAGAGAAAACCTTGAGCGGCGTCTCAGGTCCGGATACAAGATGGTAGTCTGTAGCTTGCATGCATACGTTGTCTACAAAGCGTTTCCGGGCAACTGTGTAGTATGCCTTGAGAATGTCGTGTATATCCTGTACGGTGTGCTTTAGGTTGCTTATTCCCGAAATGCGTTCGAGATGGTCTGTTGTTGTCACATTCTCTAGATTGACCAACCCGAACGTCGCTGCAATCTGGGGCGCCTCCTCTGATGCTTTCTTCAACCTCTCCGCTCGAGCCTTCTCCAGGTTCTCGCTGAAGTAGTGGTTTGTCGTTATCAGGTTTCCTTCGCGTTCAGTTCGGATGATGAACTTGACCTGATCTATGGCCTTCTTGTAAATCGGAATCATATCTTCAATTAAAACCGCCCACAGACTATTCCTCGTGCGTTCTTCCATACATATGTGAGCAAGGAGTCGATCGCAGAACCCATGGATATGCAGAATCACATCGCAGATGTAATCCATAGCTAGGTGTTCCCAATTGATGGTTTGTTGCTTGAAGAGTAAAGGGGAGATTGATGGATCAAAGGTTCCCAGCTCGAATCCTCTTGAGGATTTGTAGATTCCCTCAATCCAACTCAATATTTCTTCGGTGATTTCAGGCTCTCCTGGCCGAGAATCATAAAGTACATCCTCTAGCTCCGGATAATCGTTGACGTTGAAGAACCCAGTCGCTGTTTTCCCGGAGGAAGCGTCAGGAAACCACGAGGTGGACTGTGTTTGAGCAGGGAGCCCTGAACTCTTCGACTTCGATGCACGATTTTTGGTTGAGCTCTTGGGCTGATGCGGCACACCCAAATTCAAGAGCTGGGTTGCGTGGCTATCGAAATCAACTGTGCATCCATTTTTCCGTACCGCTTCTGAAAAGTGATCATTTAGTGTCACTATGATGGTAGCGAGCCGCGTAATTCCGTTATCGAAAAGATCATCCGTCCCGTAGCGAGTGTCCAGAGCATATCCGGTGACAGTCTGAAACTTCACGGCCATGTTGATCAGATATAGGCGCTGCTGGTAATCATTTTCGCGACTAGGACCGAGGCTGCGCAATTCTGCTTCACATGCCGTCATTCGGTGATAGATCTCACGTTTGACGTGAGGAAATTCCCGTTGAGTAATGTTTTGTAGAAGATCGCGAAGTCGCTTGTGAAGGGCTGGAATACCGATTCGATCTTTAGCGACCAGGGAGAAAGGTCCGCTGCTGAAGAACAGAGATTCTTTTTGGTGTCTCTCAGACGTGCATATTGTTCTCTCCTGCTGTCCTCGGTTCCGGACCATGCAATACCCTAGCCTAAGCTTGTGCTTCTTGCCATGCATCAATTCCAACACATCTCTCTCTGCTCCTCTGTCAACGAGGTCAGGCTTCGTAAGAACGCCAAGTGTACGTTGTCCTTGCGGATCAACGTCTTTTGCCATGTTCAAAATCTCTTGAGTTGCAATATCGACATTTGCAGGGATAACCGCGAGAATGATTGTTCTCTCGTTCTGAATGAAGCGTCGTACCATTCGCTTGACTAAATCAATATCCTCGTTCGTTGTGAGCCCTTCCGTCGGGGTTCTGAATATGCCAGGTACGTCGATAATGCTCAGATGGTTATGATCTGGATCAACAAGCTCAACCCTTAAAATATGTTCCGAGAATGCTGGTTGACCATGCGTCTTTGGTTGGTCTGGCGATGGTATGCCCATAAGCTCACATGCCTGATATCAAAGTAAGTATCGAAGGCAATTAAGTAGGAACTGATTGCTAACCTTCGACAATATGCTTTCAAATTGGCTTGCGGAAAGTGTCTCGAAGCTGTCTTGTTTGAAAGACTTCAGTCTACCGGCAGTGGCTTCGTCGCATGAAGTTGAAGGGATGATAGAGACAAAAATACACTCTCTATCCGCTCTCCGAAAAATGATCTGCGTAGCGAATCGGGTACATAGAGTGCTGTCTCGAGGAAATGGAAGGCTGGTCAGTCCTTCTAAAACGGAGGATTTTCCACTTGATTGGTCCCCTACAACAACCAGCTGCGCTCAGTCAACTACTGCATCGGATAGCGTACCTAGAAAGACCTCTATACCTGCGGAAGTGATATGTACTCGCCTATCCCCAACTCAGTCAATTTATCGATTTTGCCCAAACGCTGAGGATCGGCAAAACTGCTGAGTTGACCTTTCAAGTCCATGGTCCTAAGGCAATTTTGAGGTTTCTCTTGCGCACCAACGTGTAGAAAAGGTGATGTGGGATGGATAGGGAAAGCTGAAAATGTGACGAAGACAGAGATTGAACAACGGCTGTGGGAACGGCTCAAATCTCAATGTCTACTTCACATGATGGATCCGGTTCGTAGGTAGGGAATGCCATGTTTGGCGAGTAACTTAGCCTATCTAATTAGATTCAAATCGGCACATGCATACGGTTATGTCATACCTTTGAGACAGCCTGCATTTACGTAAAATATCTTGACGGTGATGGGAATAGCCCTGTCGGTTTCATATGCTGGAGGTTACTGAAGGTGAGGAGGCTGGCAGCCACCGATCACTATCCTTATTGATACGCCCTCCTCGATATTCCCCACACGCAGGCCCTCGAAATGGAAGGGAAACACGTCTTTTGGCCTCAATTCACGGCCATATTTCAAGATGTTTACCGCATATGGACTCGTGCCACGCAACGTCTATCGTATTCGATTATGACTTACGGACAAGCGCTAGTATCGAAAGCAGTCTAAGGCTTTTCTTCAATTGGACTGACTTCAATTCGCAAGGGAGCCATAAACACGACACGTCAGCTCATGCTTAGGCCCGTAAAAGAGCCGACATTATTGTAAGTGCTATCCTTGACGTCAAGAACTGATAAGCGTGAGGCGCCAATCCTAAGCAATTCCGCAATAACTACGCAAACCTCTCGCACCATGTGTCGTTTCTATGATGTGTGAACTTACTGATGGCTTTGACTATCGCAAAAAACGATGTTAGGCGTGTGTTATATATGAGATACTTACTCTACATAGTCAGACATGGCTACCTTGGACTCGCAGACTTGATGAGATTTGCAAGAGTGGGGAAAGCACTAAATGTAAATGCACTAGCATTAGCACTAGGACTAGCACCTAGTAATGGTCTACTGACCAGTAAAGTCCCAAAGAGTTAGCTTGCCTTTCGATTGACAGGTCACTTCGAGCACAGCGAAAGCGTGTAGATTGAGAATAAGGGTCTTGGAATGTTCGCGTCCCGGAGTGAGCACGTTTGACTCAATTGGAGGGATATGGCTGAAACAGGAGGGGTGACGATGCTGTTGCAGCTACAACATTGGAATCTGTGTCTGAGACTACCGTAACTGAGCAGAGAACGAACAAAGACGGAATGTAGATCATAACGGTGTTCAAATTTGGTCTTGCGAAAGTTTGTACAGTTCAGCCTTGATTCAGAACGGTTAGTTATGTAATAGCAGGAAGAAACCGAATAGGCTTTGCTATAATAGTTTCGAAGGTCAAGACGCCTCGAATAAAGTGTAACCACCGGTACTGCCCGATTTCAACATTAGCTTGCGCGCTTTTCGAGCGCAATAACTTCGTTCACCGTGGTCAGCCTCTTTCTCTCTGCACAACAAATCTCATAGAGATGCATGAGTGAAACGATTCTGCTATAGGACGCTCGACCAAGGTTGGTCTCATTGGATATAGTGGCAATGGACATAAAAAAATGCTAGATAGTGTAACCTGGCTTTTCTGTTTACGAAGCTAACGTCAATCCAAGCGTGCCGGGACGCACGGTGTAACGGGACAGTTTTCGCTCCGGAGCCTCGCCATCTCTCATCTGCATCATTATCGACCTGCAGTCAGCGTATCCATCTTCTGGAACTGGTTACCTTCCAGGCCAT